TGCTGAACGACCACACCAGCCCAGCACAGCAAACATTCAAATGCCGCTGGAGGAACTGCGACACATTCTTCACAACCCGCAACGGCTCCAAACAGGTACGGCAGCTTTCCGACACTCTTAATGCAGGTAAAAGTAGTCACTTCCACACATGAAAACTGAAGTTGTACCGCAAAAGGGAATTTATGTATTTTGATGCATGTACCACAATTGGTGCAGTGTTACACAAATGTTTGATATGTTTGATATTTGTGACCCTGGAGCACAAAACCAGTCTTAAGTCGCTGGGGTATATTTGTAGCAATAGCCAAAAATACATTGTATGTGTCAAAATTATCGATTTTTCTTTCATGCCAAAAATCATTAGGATATTAAGTACAGATCATGTTCCATGAAGATATTTAGTAAATTTCTTACCGTAAATATATCAAAACTTCATTTTTGATTAGTAATATGCATTGCTAAGAACTTTATTTGGACAACTTTAAAGGCGATTTTCTCAATATTTAGATTTTTTTGCACCCTCAGATTCCAGATTTTCAAATAGTTGTATCTCGGCCAAATATTGTCCTATCCTAACAAACCATACATCAATGGAAAGCTTATTTATTCAGATGATGTATAAATCAATTACTGGTTTTGTGGTCCAGGGTCACATTTAAAGCTACCAGCAAACATGCTGTTAATCTCTCTGGTGTCATTTGCTATAAATTCAACTACTGCAGCAGAAAATATTGCAAAAAGAATGATGGTACAATTTATTTTCGTGACACATATCCACATTTTCCTCCCAATTCAAAAAGAATATATAATTTTTTTATATATGCAAAAATTATATATTTATTTTAGCATGGATTTATGTTATGATTTTAAGTTATTAAAATAAAAGTTATAATGGTTTAAAAAACAAATCATGTAAAATTACAGCAATTTTTAACCAAAAATGTTTGACTACCGTTCAAAGGTTTGGTTGGAGTAAGATATTTTATTATTATTATTTTCTGAAAGAAAAAAACAATTATTTACCAAGGATGCATTAAATTGATCAAAAGTGACAGTTAATTAAGACAAAATATTTCTGTTTTAGTTTTCTATTTATCAAAGAATTCTGAAAAAAAAAAAAATCCATAAAAATATTAAGCATCAAAACCATTTTCAACATTTATAATAATAAGAAATGTTTCATCAGCAGCAAATCAGCATTTGCCATCACAGGAATAAATTGCATTTTAAGAAATATATTAAAATAGAAAACAGTTGTTTTAAATAGTATTTGTAATATTTCACAATATTACTGTTTTTTATATTTTTGTAGTCTTGGTGAGCAAGAGACTTAACAAAAATATATATATATCTTAACCCCAAAATTTTGAATGGTAGTATGTGTGTATAGATATTTGTAGATAAAATGTGACATTTTATGTATAAATTATAAAATAAGATTTTTGTCTGTGTCAAACTTTGACGTGACTCTTGTCTTTGTAGGCAGTACACGGTCACATGCAGAAACATGCTGAGGACGACAGTAAAATGGAGCCATGAGGGGCCAAAGCAATTTCACAGACATAGTCTCCTCTTTTCCCATATTGGGAATGCTCATTCAGCCCTCACCAGAGGAGCCCTGTTCATGGGTATATTTTTATATGAACCATCAGATACCAACAACTGCCACTTTAGATGATTCTGATGCCACAGTTTAAACAGTGATTGTTGATTTTAATCTCTGAGAAATCAGTTTTATGTAAAAAAAAAAAGACAAGTGCTACTGTAATTTCAAACAAAAATAAGTACATTTCTCTATAAGTGGATTTGATTTGTTGGTATTTTGATGAGAGGAAATCTTTTACATGTGACTCCTCTCTGAAGTGTGAAATATGCCCAATTCTTTTATACTGACGTGGCATTGCTCTGATACTCTCCTGGAAGGGATTGATTTCTGTATCCGACGCTTCTCCAAGTCTCTCATCTGATCATACACTGTATCGTATCATCAGCTCTGAGATTTACTGACCAAATAAAGACAGAAACTGTGGGAAACATTTGGCTACCAGTGCATCAGCTCCCTCAGCAAACACGTGTAGCTCACTGTTGTGTGTGCCGTATGAGTTTAGAGATCTTCTGATGTGGAGTGATTTCAGAAAGCATGAGACTTGTCGTGTCGAGCAACCAGATTTTAGTGTTGTAACGTTGCAGGCTTTTATGAAGGACAAGGTCAATGGATTTTCTGGTTTCATGGTATTACATACCTGTCAAAGCAAACTGTTATTCTGGGACACTTGCGTTTCAATCTGTTTTACGAATACAAAAGTCTAATTAGTCAAGTTGTGTCTGGCGATTTTATTTGGTTTTCTTTTTCTTTTCTTTTTTAATTGTTCATTCAAATATAGTCATTTGAGTGGTTGAATAATTTTCCAATATTTTTTTATTTTTTTTATTTTCTGTGGTTGCTCACAATTGGTGAAGTAAAGTCGAAGGATTCAGGTTTGCCGTGACAAGTCTGACAAGTCAATGTTTGCTGTGCTGTTGACAGAGACTGAAATGTGCCAGTTCGTGTGCGATTGTATGCCATTGAGAACAAATGTTGAATAGTCATTTGAGTGGTTGAATAATTTTCCAATATTTTTTTTTTTTAATTTTCTGTGGTTGCTCACAATTGGTGAAGTAAAGTCGAAGGATTCAGGTTTGCCGTGACAAGTCTACAGTTGAAATGTTTGCTGTGCTGTTGACAGAGACTGAAATGTGCCAGTTCGTGTGCGATTGTATGCCATTGAGAACAAATGTTGAATGTGTTTTATGGCAGTGGTTCCCAACCCTGGTCCTGGAGGCACCCCAACACTGCACATTTTGCATGTCTCCTTTCTCTGACACACCAATTTCAGGTCTTGGAGTCTCTACTAATGAGCTGATGACCTGAATCAGGTGTGTTTGATTAAGGAGACATGCAAAACGTGCAGTGTTGGGGTGCCTCCAGGACCAGGGTTGGGAACCACTGTTTTATGGGACAGTGTGAACAAGACAAGGTCATTTTATTTTCCTTTTTTTCTATAGTCAAGAGGTGGGGTTTTTGTTCTTTCTTTTTCTTCACAGCATTTTGTGTCGTTCGTGCCGATGAGATTTGTAGTTTTCTGCAAGTCCAGGAGGTTCCTCACACAGGAAAGTACCTATATTTTGCAGTGTAAGAATGAAAATTTAGGGGTGATAAGCAGGGGAGGTGTGTTTGTGCAGTTACTAAGAGTAATAGCACTATCCTATGTCTGTTGAAATAGAACATTTTACTACCCCTGAAGTGTTGTATTTTTAACTATATATGGGCACTGAAGTTTTTTTTCCATTATATTATATCATAATGGATAAAGATACAGCTTGTTTTTCCACCCAGTCATAACCTTTGAAATGTGTCTCAGCTCTTTTGCTGTAGTTGTGTGTTGCTGAGGAGAGATTTGCAGCCAACCTCTAAACTGGTATTCCCAAGTTTCTCACACATGTTCATTTCAAATACTGTTAAAATCTTTACAGACATTTTGTACACAAATGCTATTGAAATAAATGGAATAAACCAAGTTTCTCACACGTTCATTTCAAATACTGTTAAAATCTTTACAGACATTTTGTACACAAATGCTATTGAAATAAATGGAATAAAAAAGATTCACTGTGCTACTGTGTGCATTTCTTTTATCCTAAGGGGAAATTTGGTTTCATGGAGGTTATGTTCCAGTGTAGTACTTCACTTGAGACTTTTCATGAAAAGGCTACAAATAGTGTCCCATTACTTTTTAAAGCAATAAAGACGACTTATTAGAAAACAATTAGATATGTTAAAGTGTTATCTTACTAAAATAGTACAAAACATCTCTTTTACATATTTTACTGTTGACTTAATTTGCCGGCATGCAACCGTTACTCATGTTATTGAAAAATTATCAAACTAATATTTTCTTGAATTTATAGAATATATATGTTTAATGTTTATTTCTAGAATATAAAATCACCTAACAGGGTATTAAATACTGAGACCCAAATTTTGTAACAGGGCTGAAAAAACCAAATCAGATATAAAATAATTGGTGAAATACTTTTACAGCCCCTTTGTTGAAAAATAATTAAAAAAATCAACATGCATTTATTTATTTTTCTTGTAATTGGTACTTAATGCTTTTGTGTAAATAATTAGACTTAAAAAAATTATTTATTTTTCCTGGGAAAGCACTTCAACCAAGAACTACACGATTATTTATTAAACGGCTGAAGTCAGTACACTCGTTTAAACAAAAGGTTAAATGCGGGTCAAGCACAAAAAAAAAAAAAAAGCCTAGCATCGACCCATGACCATACACCATTCAATAAAGACCCTGAATGTTGCCATCTGTCATGACATCTGAGATGGTTCCTGATGATTCTCCAGTAGTTTTTTAAATTATTTTCCTTACTTGGTTCTTCATGTTTCTTATTTCCTATCATTTACAAAAACAAAATTGTCTCCACAAACAACCAGGATTTGAAACAATAAAGACCACCTTCATGGCCCTCATGCATGCTTTTTTTAATGGATTTTGTTATTACCAAATCAAATGGGAGGCTGGGATGTATGTAGTGCATATCTGGGTGAAGATGGAAAGATATTTTTAAGAAATCTGAATCAGAAAGAGTGGTAGTATGATGATAAGAGTTTCCAAGTGTCTGAGACATTTTGTTCAGACAAAATTCTGACTTTTGATAGATTTACAAACCTGGTCAAAACCACATCCATATGTGGTGTGAAATCGGAAACAAATCTGGATTGTGTTTCAGTGTGAATGGTCAGACTGGATTTCAAGTAGTTTTTCCTCATCATTGTAAGGCATCACGTGTACAATGTAATAAGAAGTGTGCAATATTGTCAAGAGTTAAATCCGAATCTATTTATTTTTATTGTTATAGTTCTATATAATATTAGATAATCAATTATATATTAGGTCCATCAGCATATGGCAAAAGGAAATCTCAGGGCCATGAAACATTAGCATCTTTTGAGGCTAGTTGAGGTAAAAGAGAAATGCTGCCTGTAACACCAGTGTAGACAAACTGAATGAAGGTCATGTGAAAAGCTACTCTGAGGAATGAATTACAACAGAAAACCAGCAACGTGCGACGTGCCTCCAAAGTTGCTTGGGCACAACGCCCCCAAAAACGTTTCCTCTGCAAAACGTCGGTCTGTAACACTAATACTCATTTCACTCTTCTTGCCATCCCATTTAAAACTAAAATGAAGAGGAGGAGTAATCATGTGTTAAGTTTCTAGAACTGGTGTTCAGTGTGGGCTGAGGTACAGAGAAAGAGGTAACAGTAGTCTGGCACATTGAGTGTTGAGGTAAGAGCTGCTAGTTCTGGTCCTTGCCGAGTCAGGGCTCACCTGGATCCATAGTTGGTCTATGCGTACATGGTTAGCTGAAGCCACTGGAGAAATTGAAATAGAAGTTTAGCATTTTGTGATCAGCCTACAGATTTAAATGGAAGGCTTTTGATGTTTGAAACTAACGACGTGGACCTGATGCTAAACATTACATAGTCTTAAGATGATGGATTGGTGTCCACTCACCTCCAGTACATCAAGTCTGATGGTGCCATCTCCACCTTGATCAAAGGCCTGGAATGCTCCTACAAAGAGAACGGGTTCACTTCAGACAGTATGCATGTATGATTTTTAGCATACACAAGCCCCAAATCAATTGTTGGTAAAAATTTAACACATGAAATATTTCAAGCAGAACCCAGTAAAATCTTTAGTTGTTTAGAAAGCGGTTCTGTATGCATTCCCCACCACTTTTGGTGTTTAAAGAAGTTTCATTTGAAACATTTTCCGAACAAATGTGGAAATTTTCTTTATCCCTACACATTCTGTTTCAACCCTGTTATGCTGAGATTGTGGCAGCATTGTACTAATTCATTCCATCTGTAGCCAAAACATAGGAATAAATTAGTGCGATGTAGCCACAATTTATTAAAATGTTTATTTAATTAATACTTTAATTAATAATTTGATTTATAAAACGTGGCCACAAATTTTTCTGTCACGTGCAGGGCTCTGTATTATTATTTTTTATTTCTGACATCATATTTTATAAAGTCATTTATTATTCAAGCTCACCAGTTCAACTCTGTTATGAGAAAAGGTCAGTCAGCAATTCTTTCCAGAAAAAAAAAAAAACTGTTCATGGAACAATCTTTAAAAAAAATACAATGGTACATTGATATTTGCTTGCTAATACTGTTATTTATCCTTTTTGTCCTGTCTTTCCATCCAAAGACATTATGAATGTAACAGGGTTGACAAAACATTTTTTTTTTTTCAAAGACAAAGTTTTGAAGTTTTTTTAATGCATGATTAATTACAAGGTACAATGAAACTGTGCCTTGTAAAAAAAAAAGTCTATAATTCCAAACTTACTATGACTATGAGTTAATAATGTCAAATATTGAAAAAAAAATTTCTAGCTTAAATGACAACACTTCCTGAGAATGACACTGTGTGTGTACTATTTACTAAACACTATTTGTTTGACTATTTGCTAGTGAAAAAGATTACAACTTACTGAACATCCCCTCCAGTCGCACAAGACAGCTGACGAAACTGTCAAAGTCGATGTTCATGTTTTCATTGGCATAGCGCATGGTGATGATGTCATAGAGCTGGTTATTCAGACGGAACCCTGAGTGGCACACAAAACACGTGACTGAACAGTGACAAGACCATTAGAGACAGACAAATGTTCTTCAACATGAGAACGGATGAACAGTAGAAATACATGAAAAACATTCTAACCTGCATCATTGATGGCGTTTCTCATCTCATAGCTGCTGATAGTGCCAGTATGATCAAAGTCATAGCACTTAAAGATTCCCTGTGGAGAAACTTTAAGTCCATGTGTCTAACAGTCTTGTTTTTTATTTATATAGGAAAGAATGAGGAGATTTCAAACCTGCCACTGTTTGACTTTGTTCCACAAGTGTCTAAACTCTTGTAGGTTAAGTCTTCCTTTTCCGTCCATCTGTGTGATTAGGATTAAGAAAGATTTGCATGCAGATTTGAAATGCATCTGCTACGAAATTAAATCTACTGTACATGAAATTGTGGAGAAGTAACATTTATTATTTCAAAACGGTCAGAATCATAAAACTTTCTTTTCTTTCTTTTCAACCCTGTAATGCTGTAAAATTTCCCTCTTTTTTTTAATTTATCATTATGTTTAAGGAAGTGACATCAAATAAGTTTGGGGTGGGTAAGTTTTTCTAATGTTTTTGAAATAAGTCTTTTTTTGCTCAATCAAGGCTGCATTTATTCGATCAGTAAAAGCATTCATATTCTGAATTATTATTACAACTTAAAATAAGTAATAATTAAAATATTATTTATTCCTGTGATGCAAAGCTGAATTTTCAGCATCATTACTCCAGTCTTCATGATCCTTCAGAAATCATTCACAAAAGAACACAAAAGAATATTAACTGTAATTAATATGGTGTGGTGAAATATTATTTGATTGGTTGCTTTTACACTGACCTTTTGTAATATTCAACTCTGAATGTTATGTAACAGAGTTGAGTGTGTCAGTGTGTTTGGCAAAACTAAAACTAAGGCTTATTGCTAATAATGATAAATAAC